GGGGGCGGTGCTGCCTCGCTCCGGGCCTCGGGCTCCCAGGGGCTGCCAGCCCCGCCTGGGGCGGGAAGCTCGCCCTGGTTCTGTGGCGAAACCCTGCGTAGCTTTTGTGATCCGGAGCTACACATCAGCAGCTGGTTGGTGATGGGTTTGGGGGTGGAGGTTCCAAGCCCGCTGTCGTGCTTCATCTCCCTCTTGCACAGCTGACCGTGCTGAGAAAACACCCCTGGTCCCTCCGTGCTGATGTTAGTATTCTTGCTGCCTCCTGTAGTATCTGCTGTGCTGTTCTGGGCATGTAATGTCGAGTCCATACCTAGTGTTTCAATCCTGATCTCCAGTAGTATCTCATAGATTGCCTCTCCTGATAATGCATTTTGTTTCCCTCATGCCAATACACTGAAGAGCTTTGGCTGCTTTAGACAATGCAATTAAAGTACAGCAAAATACTACACTACATATGTTGTTATGTAACTAAGTGGTTAGACCAGTTAAATCGAGCAAAAAAAAAACCCAACAAACAAAAAACCCACCCACTTTGTGGTAAATTTAGCAGAGCATTTCACATGTTGGTATACATCTGATACTTCCTTTACTGGCATCTATTCTGTCCTTGTCCTAGCTCCACTACTTACGACCTAAAAGTGCAGAAAGATGTGAACGCAAACTTGTTGCTTTCCCTCCCGTTTTCACACACTTTCTCCCTATTTGGGTGTATAGTTTGCTTGGTCGCACTTGCTACAAAAAAGTATGTTTACTGTGATAATTTAAAAACAAAGATATTTTTCATATGCCAGGTGTAGTGTTTATAGTGATAACAATTACAGGAATATAATGTTGCTTTGTGTGTATATGTGGATTTTTCACTGTATGGTGTCCCAAAGCGAAAAAGGAGAAAGCCCAGTGGACCAATGGAAATGGCTTTCTTTTAGAGGATAAGTCTATTATTCATTAGGTATTTTTTTTTCTTCTTTCTTTTAGACAAATGAAAATGAGACCTGGTGAGGTCCTTATAGACTGCTTAGAGTCTGTTGAAGATACCAAAGGAAACAATGGAGACAGAGGTAACTGCATACTGAGGGAAATTGTAAAACTTTTAATATTTAGCCTGTGTAGGTTCGTGGAGGTCCTGTCTGGTTTCCATTGAAACAGGTATCTATGGTCTGTTGCAGCAAATAGATCCTGCCTGTTTCACAGATCTGTCCCCTCTTGGAGCATTTTGAAATATCATTTCTTTTTCAAACTTACATGAAGGTGATAATGTTGCCTGAGAATTTGTTTAGAATTCAAAGCCTTCCAAGAATATTCCATTTCTAAACATCGGTGATTTTTTTGCTGTAAACCTATGTAATGCTTAGTTTTTCCTAACCTGGTTTAAACTGAATTTGTAAGGAATATATACATATATATATAGAGTCTGTAAGGACGTGAGGCTGCCAGCATGCTGAGATGACCCTGGGATTGGATTTGCTGCTGTACAGGGTACAGAATCAAATACATTTGCATGTGACATAAAGGGGTGAGGTTATTAAGGCAGCTGTGACAGTTAACTCACTGCCTTCCTCTTCTCATCCTCAGAGCAGTTCTGCACTGGTTGTGTCTCTGCATTTTTACCATAGGCAGTTGGATGTGAAATCGGTAACTGTTCTTGGTTTGGTTTCGAGGAATGCTGGTATATATTGGTAGTTGTTGCATTTGTTCCTTGCTGGATTTTCTGTCCTACCATTGAAAAAAGAAAGAAAAAAAAAAAAAGTTTAGGTGTTTTTTTTGCACGTGTCCTGTGCTTTTCTTCAATTTGCTATCAAGGGGAAGGAGTATTCTAGTGTTTCAAAACTGGAGGTAGATGTGTGCCACAGAATGGAACATTTAATTTAAGGGAAGTTATTCAGATTAAAAATATCTATGCTCTTTATTTCCAGGTAAACTGCTTGTGACTAATTTGCGGATTATTTGGCGCTCGTTGTCGTTGCCCAGAGTGAAAGAAAAAAAAAAAAAGTTTAGTGATTTTTCTGCACAGTGTCCTGTGCTTTTCTTCAATTTGCTATCAAGGGGAAGGAGTATTCTAGTGTTTCAAAACTGGAGGTAGATGTGTGCCACAGAATGGAACATTTAATTTAAGGGAAGTTATTCAGATTAAAAATATCTATGCTCTTTATTTCCAGGTAAACTGCTTGTGACTAATTTGCGGATTATTTGGCGCTCGTTGTCGTTGCCCAGAGTGAATCTCTGTAGGTATCATCTGTTACGGAGCTGCACATTTTCTGTTTCTTTCATGGTGGCATGCTGTGCTTTCACACTAGTATTGATTACATTACAGAATAGTAATGTATAGTTCTGTTGCTCTGTAAAGTCTGGAATAAACTGTTATTAATTAATCTATCTGTAATATGGGAACTGATCATAGCAGAATTATTCAATGTTAATTTCTCAGAAGTTGAAGAGTACTTCAGACATGTTTGTCTTTTGGCCGATGTGGGGTTCACTTGTTTTCTAGAAAGACACAAAAGTTTGGGATTCTTCACTCCTTGCTTCACTTGTACCTCTTGTTATCACATGTTTATTCACATTTTGTATTGTCCTATAGTCTTCATTCTCTGCAAGTGCTTGCCTTTCCAAATGTACTATTTTAAGCTCTGATTAAGCTTCTAATTTTAACTATGTGAGTAGCTCTCATCATATTGAATTTAATTTGCTGAAACAGGGGCAGGAAACACTTACTTTGTACCAAAATTATATCCAGTGCTCAGTTCCCAATAGGCAGTCAATATTGCAAATCTGTGTTCTGTTCATAATGTATATAAATTTATGCCATAAATTTAAGTTTTCACATGGACCTTTCAGAGAAGAGGATAGGTTAGACTTCCTTGAGGTTTTATAGGGCTTTTAGAATCTAAAATACTCTCTAGCTTTCAAGATAATGCATTATTTCTTACATTAGTGAAATACATAGACAAGTTTTTTGTTGGATGCCAGTTTTGACCATTGCTGTTTCTTTTGGTTTTAGAAAATGTCTCATAAACAAGCTAGGAAATAGTATTTTTCAGGTCTCTTCATAAGTATTAATTTTGTATAGACTGAATAATCTTATCTATATGACTGCTGCCACATTTGAGCTTTTGGAGAAGCAGAATTTGACCAAAGCAAATTCTAGTTTTCCTTTGATTTTTAAAAATATATATTTTTTAACTTGGCTGTGCTACTATTGGTATCAGTAGCAGGATTGTCGTTGATGTTCAGATTTAGCCCAGCACCACTTTAGTGCATCTGTTTGTTTTAGGGAGAACAACTGGAATTGTTTCTGTTTTTATTTTGTATCAGAGCACTGCTGTAGAAGAGGCAAAGTGAAATCATAACAATTTTTTCCTTTTCTTCTTTTTGTTCCTTCTCCACTTATACTTCCAACTTGCTGCTTTTTTAATTTGTCATCTCCTTAGTTCATCTTCTACAAAGTATTCTATTGATTTATAAGTGTAAAATCTGTGGGCAACACCAATGATGAAACAGATCTTTTTGGGCCAACAGTCAAATGCTGAAACAAGGGAAATTCTGTTTACATATTAGGAGAAAAATGTTCACAGTGATAGCATTGAACAGTGGAACTACTCCCGGAGTGTTTGTGGAATCTCCTTGTTTGTAAATATACAAAACTCAATTGGACAGTATCCTGAGCAGCTGGATGGATTTGGTCCTGCTTTGAGAAAAGCATTGGAACAGACAACTTCCTGCTTAAATTAGCCTCTGATTTTGTGATGAGAGCCCAGGCCATTAACCCAATGTGTAATTCACAAATAGCATCCAGAGTCATGCTACGAAGTTCAGTGTTGCACTTTGTAATTTTGACTATTATTTTTTCTTGTTCTTAAAATTGTTGGGTTTTTTTCTCCCTTTTAGCTGTTGGTTACAATTGTGTTATAAACATAACTACAAGAACTGCCAATTCAGTAAGTTTCAAAAACCACTTTTTAAGATAATAAAAGAAGCTGTAATTGTTTGTACTTATTGCCCTTTACCAACAATGATCTGAAAGTTTATTTGCAAGAACAGTAATAGAATATTAATGGAAGTTTAGTTTTAAAAGTTGAGGGAGTTTTACATTTCGATACCAGTGTGTTTTTAGTCAATTTCCTAAGGCAGTAAAACTCTGTAGTCACACTGTTCTGTTATTCTTCTCCCTTCTAGGTAAGTCAAGCATAAGTTAACTCATTGTGTCTATATTTAACAAAGCTGTAGAGACAATTATAATTGTGCAAGAAAGCTCTCAAATATGTAGCCTGAATTATATGGAACCATGAAGCTGTTTTTCTTTGGCTTGTGACAAGGAGCTAACAGGGAGATTATGTAGATTCCCTGGACAGCCACATGGTAACAAAGCAAAGAATTTAAATCATGTTATTTCAAATGTGTATCAAGCAGGCTTTTTTAGTTGTACTGTTGGTGGAACTGCTTGTTTCTCAAAAAAAACCTTGAGTTTAGTTGAAGACAGTGGTAGGTCAGAATTACACCTTCAGATAAGATACTACTTAGAATAAGAATTTTTAAAATGTCGAGATTGTTTATTGCCTGTATATTTATGCTACTGTATTGTCAAAATGTTAAATTTCATTTTTTCCTTACAGAAATTACGAGGGCAGACAGAAGCTCTGTATATATTGACTAAATGTAACAATACACGGTTTGAGTTCATATTTACCAATGTTGTCCCCGGGAGTCCCAGACTCTTCACTTCAGTTATTGCTGTACACAGGTAGTGTACTTAGAATAGTGTTCGTTCATTTCCAAAATTCAATAAATAAAATACGTGTGATCAGTAGTGCTGATGAACTGTGTATATGACTGCCTATATTTAACATTAAGAAAACTTTCCCAAAAGAGTAGAACTCAATCTCTGAAAAGAAGGGAGAGAAAGGACACAGATTCTAGAAGGTAACTGTGCATAGGGAAAATTAATGTGTATTGATATGTATATACTGTGTATTAATACCAGCATTGATTACAGTTTATACCCCTTGTGTGTATAAACGATCTGAAGAAATAAAAGAACAAAATAGCTACTTTCAGTGTCCCATTTTTTATCTATAATTTCTGTCTATAATAATTTCCTGTAATTTTGGACCAGGTAATGGAAGTGAAGAGTTAAATCCAGTCAAAACTCTAATTGGTTACAAAACAGTGGATGTTTCCCACCTAAATATAAGTCATGTGAATGAATGTGTGCGGAATATATTACCACAGGTTTGTTTTGAAGAGAAATACTGATGTATGTATATTGGATGTTTGTGACTTAACCAGCAGTAACAAATAAAGCATCCTTGGTGCCTATGATTTATAACTAGTGCCCAGAAAACTTACACTTCTTAAGAAATAAACAGTATACGTGGAAAGAATACAGCGTATCAAAACAGATGTCAAAAAGCCCTTTTAAGCTTAAAGATAACTTAATTAAGGAAAGCTAAAACATAATTGTTTACACTGATGAAATCTTAATAGTGTTCTCATTTTTGCACAATGTGGTCATAAGAAAAGTTGAAAACATACTATATTTCATACTGGTGCTCAAAGAAACAGTGAAGATAATAGAAAACACTGAAATGTTAACATTTGTAATTTATTTTTTTGCAGAGCTTATGAAACTTCTAAAATGTATCGTGATCTGAAGCTGAGAAGTGCTTTGATTCAAAACAAGCAACTGAGATTGTTACCACAAGAACAAATATATAGTAAAATCAATGGAATTTGGAATTTATCAAGTGACCAGGTATAGTGAAAAGTGAGACTATGTTGAGTACAGGAGAGTTAAAATGTTTCGGCTTTCATCTAACAGTTGTACTACTATAGTTTTGTAACCTCAGAGGAATTATCCTTAATCTATTTCATCAGCTGATGGCGTGCAGAGAAGCTCATCCCATGTGTTTGCTGCTCAGTACAACAGATTCTCTTTAGCAACCTGAAGTCTACGTGACTAGGTCAATATGCAAGGAATGAGATATACAGTTCCTGTTAAAATGTTATGAGTCTAAAGCTCTGTATCATCCTGAAAGACAAACATGTTGTTTCCCAAGTGCTCTGCTGAACATTTGTATGTTTACATGCAGTGTTGACTACAAACTGTATTGATTACTGGAAATTGCAAATACTTGAATAGGAATCTATGTCTTAAAACATGAAAAAACAAAGAAAACATTTCCAACATTTTACAGGCCATTAGTTGAAAGCATTCGCCAGAGCCATGAAACAAAATGGGAGCTGTTAATTCTGTCTGTGCAGTTTTATCCAGAATAGAAATAGGATCTATCCTGACAAGCAAAAAAGTTCTTTCCTCTACATTCCCTTGGCACATACCTCCACTATTGCCTAAGTTTAACTCACATGCCATTTTACTTACACTGTATGCCAATTCCAGATCTGTACAGTTAAGTACACTCTGAGAGGCTTCATGTACTCCCATGAGGTCTGCTGTGCTGTGATTTGATCCTGCTTTGCTGCAGTAATAGTTACTCTCAGTTATTTTCACCTCTTGGGTGCTGTATCCTTTAAAGATTGGATCCTGCTTCCTTGGAATCAGTAGAGGCATTTCAACTGGTTTTGGTGGGAAATATTTTTTAAATTTAATTAATTTTTACTGAATGAAATTTTACTGAATTTTTGTTGAATTAAATATGAAGCTGTGTCCTGCTTGTGTTTAAATGTATAGTAGTAATCATCATGTTAGGAAAAAAGGCTCAATAATTCATAGCAGTTCTAACATACCTTTTCTTTAACAGGGAAATTTAGGAACATTTTTTATTACTAATGTGAGAATAGTTTGGCATGCAAATATGAATGACAGCTTTAATGTCAGCATACCATATCTACAAATTGTAAGTATCTTAAAACAGGCATTTAAAAAATTAAATGGCATGAGTTCAAATCTTTAGTTAAAATTCCCAGCACACCAAAATGAGTGTTTCATGCCCTGCAGTCAGGGAGGAAGTCTTATCAGCATCAACCACAGGGTAGCTTTTTTTTTTTCCCTCTTCACAGAATAATTATGGGCTTTTATGGGCAGGTGCAGATGCTGGGAATTACTCATATTTCCAATTTTCAGACTATTGACTATGATGCTTCATGATACCTACATACATTGGGATTATTGATCTGTGAACCTAATGTTCAGAAATGAACTGTTACCACTTTTCTGATAAAAACACTGTGCTCTGAGGTTCAGGGGTTCATATTTGTAATGGTAAATGAGAGGGAATGCTGGTAGCCAGTATTACAGAACCAGTAATTGTAATTCGTACGGTATTAAAAAACCCAAAGGTAGAAAGACAGATAAATAGAGTGAGTGAGCAGATTTTTATCAAGTAATTCTAAAAATATTTAACATTTTGTACTTCTTTACCATTAGCGTTCAGTAAAAATAAGAGACTCAAAGTTTGGCTTGGCACTTGTGATAGAGAGTTCTCAGCAGGTAAGAAGTTTTAATTGCCTTTTTTGAATTGGTTATGTTTTTATATATAATAGTTCTCTGATTCCAAAATGTTACAAGGCTACTTTTAAGGTACTTAGATTGTTCCTTCTGTGTGGTCTTTTAAACACAACTTTAAAGACAACAGTCTTCTTTGAACTGCTTAAAATGTCTGGATGTTAAGGTCATTATAGCTATTTTAAATTAGGGTTTCTGTAAGTAAAGCAACAATAGGTCAGCATGACTAGTTAAAATAAAGTAAAATAACCATTAAAAAGTGTCTTCTGATAGATTGTCTTTGGATTCTAATTACTTCTGTACTTAATTAAGTCAACTATTTTTAATCTTTTTCATTAATGTATCTGTTTTGCTTTAAGAGAAAATTATTTTTCTTCAATTTTACCTTAGTCAGAAATGATGTTGTGATTTTTTTTAAAAAATCCTCCCTTTATTTGCTGTATCTGAAAGCTGCTTTGATCTAATAGACTAAAAATTAACTGCATACATCTAGGAATAATTAGTATCACTTTTGAATTTTTCCACCCTTGTTTGCTTTTGTTTTACTGTATAAGAAGTTTGTTCCCCGTTTATATAATGGACTAATAGTTAGAACAGAGAAACATTGTCATTCTTTTTATTTCACCCATGGTTTAAGTGGTAGAATGAAAAGATAATACCAAAATACAGATGTTTTGCAAACTGAAGTTTGCCATAATTAAACTGCAAATCCCTATAAAAGGAAAAAAAGTTGTTTAAATAATAAGCAATACTAATAAATACATGTATTCTTTTTTTCTCTGTTATGTAGAGTGGAGGATATGTACTTGGTTTTAAAATAGAGCCTGTGGAGAAACTGCAGGAGGCAGTGAAAGAAATTAATTCACTTCACAGAGTTTATTCAGCTAACCCTATATTTGGAGTGGATTATGAAATGGAAGAAAAGGTACATCACTCATTTATTTTGAACTAGATAGAATATTGTGTTAACAGCAGTAATAAAAATATATTAAACATACTAGATATGTGGATTTACTTACTTCAGTGTTTTAATTTGCAGCCTCAACCTCTTGAAGACCTAACAGTGGAGCAGGTTCAGGATGATGTGGAAATAGAATCTGAACAAACAGATGCTTTTGTGGTAAGCTGATCCATGGAAAGCTAAAAATTAAAATAATTCTTGTTTGGTTATTCAAATGTAAGCAGGGTACAGCTGTAAACCCCTATTAAAGCTAAGCCACAACTGAATTTCTAGTATTTATAACACACCTATACACCTTTTATTCCAAATCCTTATTGCTACAAGAAGTTAATACTATTTTATGTATGGATTTTTAACTTAAGAACAAACTATTATTCAAAATAAATAGTAGTAAATAGTAATAGTTGTATGTAGTTTCTCAACACATTAAGATCAGGACTAGCTTGATAAACATCAGTATAATATAATCTAATACTTTTGTTTAAAACAAGTCTTCCTTCTCTTAGAGCAGATTAATAGATGATGATATCTATATACCTATATGCTCAACATTCATCTAAGAGTCACATTTGAAAGATTTTTAGAAATGCAGCAATAATTTTGAGTCACTCCTGACAACCTCTGTACTTCAGACAATACCAGTTTAGAAAACTGCGGTAGTATCTGTCTCCTAGTATTTCAGGAAAATGTACATTTAAATGCAAGTTTGCTCCATGACCTTCTTTCTGGGAATTTCCAAATTTACTGTGTAACCCAGCAACACTTGACTGCATGATCAACTGCTCAGGTAGACTGCATGTTTTCAAGAGCTGGCCTTGGCACACTGACAATTGACAGGTTTTCTTAATTCTCCTCTGAAGTCTGGTAAATTAGCTGTGCTAGCACCAGTGTTATTTCCACCTTCTTTTGCTTTGCTGTCATCTACTGCTGCAGACAAGCTCTTATGTCTTCTTTTCTTACCTTTTCCCTTTTTTCATTTTTGCTTGCTTTTATTCATTTGTAGCTTTTACTTAAAGGTAGATCAGTTTGCTCTGTTGGTGCCTTTGCCACCTGAATTAAATAACTGTGCTTTGCTTATTCTTAAACAAAACCTGGAAGCTGTAAATTATTAGAAGGTGGTTGTTACAGAAGACATAGATCATCCAGGACCCAATTAGTGGCTCCACACAATATACCATGACACTTTAAGACTGCAGTGCTGTTCATCAGAGTCTTGTGTAGCTGGAGATTCAGCTGACTGGGAAAACACTTTCTTTGCTGCCTTTCACCAGTCCAGAGGGGCAGCTGAAGCACGATAAGCCTCTTTTTGGTAAATATGAAGATCTAGAGCCTGCTTTTCCAGAGACTTCTAGAGCTGTGGATGTTTCCGGAGGTCTGATTTCCTGAAGTTTGAGCCTTAATTTACACTCACACAGAATGCATCACTTTCCCAGATCTCTCTCTGAGAGTAGAAAAATTTAGTTAATTATTCAGTTACTTTGTGTTAGTTTCTTAGATTCAGTGTGATGTTAAATTAATTTGATATTACTTACACATTTTAAGTTAGTTTTTTTGAAATTGAGTAATAAATGCTGCTGCATATGAGGCAGAAAATGCTGTCAGCTTGCCCTCATGTTAACATTCCCTGTAAAGTATTTGTCACTGTAACAAAACTAACATGAAAATTATGCCATTTAAAATAAGCTTTGTTTATTATGGTGGAAAATTCCTAGATTGATATTTAATGAAAAATAACATAATCACCAACCCCTGTTAGAATACTTCTGTAAATTATTTTAACATAGAAAAAACTAATCTTGTTTACAAAACAAAAATAAAAATCACACAGACTGGTTTGTTGAAGAAAACTTACCAAATGCGGTTGACTGTGTTTTTCCAAGCTTATAAGTTCTTTTTTTTTCTTTTTTTTTGCAGGCTTACTTCGCTGATGAAAACAAGGTAAGAGCATCTTTTTTCATATTATCGAATTCATATTGTTAAAATGAGATGGTAAAATTAAAAAGTACCTTCTGTTTTCTCTCTTATCTCATGCATTCAAAAAAGCAACATGATGGGGAACCTGTTTTTTCAGAAGAACTAGGACTTGCAATAGAGAAGCTAAAGGACGGATTCACACTCCAGGGACTCTGGGAAGTAATGACCTGATTTAAAATGGCAAAAATTTATTTCCTAAGCAAGGAAAGATACCCAGTTCTTATTGGGCTTGTGAGATCTGTAGAAGATAATTTAGAAATACCAGAGTAGCAGAGAAAGAACATGCCAGAGCTAAGGAGCAGAAAAATCTGAGATAATATGCCCTCAGGGTATGTCAAAAGGAAAAAATATTCAAAATCGTGGTATTTGTAAAAGCTTTGTATTTATTACATTGTGTCTGTAGGTAGCAGGAGGACAACCACTGTCCAGAATTGGCAGTCATGGGTTCCACACACCACAGAGGTCTCGTCCTGCCTCTGGTTCCAGGGTGTGAGGACCCCAGAAGTCTCTCCTATGTCCAGCTATCAGGACCTGGCAGTCCATCCCCACTCCATGCACGGTGGCTGCCATTGTACTTCATCCGCCCGCAGGGGAAGTTTCCTGCCCCACGCTTTCACACGGCTTGGTGGTTGGCTGGTGGTGGGTTTTGACACACTCACACCCTGGTGTTTTCAGGCATGTGATTGGCAGGACCAGCCATCCCATCCTGCTTCCCCCAGAAGGGTGGCAGAGCAGGAGCCCCCTCCCCTAACAACCCAGGGTCTGCCATGATGCTTCAGTCAGCACTTTATGGCAGGGAGCCCCCTTTTTTTTTTTTTTTTTCCTGACCAGTGATGTGCTTACGTGGTGCCTTGTGATTGGCTGCCAGGGCCAGTCACGTCTTGATATTACTCTTGGAAGTATGTCTGAAAAGGAAGCTCCCTCTTCCTACCTATGTGGAGGCCACCATTTGTGATAGGGCACTGTCTGGTATATAATTTGATGCTCATTTGAATGTATTCCTGTACTTATACAGGAATACTTATACACAGTGATGTACTTTCCCATAATGCTTATATCTAAATCAAATTTCCATAACTTCGTTTAATGTTGTGCAACATAGAAACATTATTGTGTGCAGATTATTTTGCATGTAGGTTTATTGGCAGTGTTACTGCAGCAGTGCTGTGTTAGTGATCATTTTGACCAAAAGCAATCCTGTTCCAAATATTAGTTCTGATGTCTCATAATTTTGTTAAATGTTCAACATATATCATTCCAGGTACTTAATTGTAATCCAGATATCCTCATAATTTTTCTTTTTCTTTCTTTGTTGTTGTTGTTGTTTGTTTGGCTTGAGCACCTTTTTAAGGAATGATCTACCAAAAAATGCACACACAAATAGCTTCTGTGTCTGAGTCATTAGACCTTTATGATGTTATGTGTAGAGAGAAATGAGTCATTTATTCTTTAAAGGAAGATGCAGCTGTTACGTTTTCTAGTGAGATAAGACCTCTGTGCTATTTTCTATAAGTGGAAAAAGTCAAATGAGCTCTCCTCTCAGCTGTTGTTCTAGCAGCTGACTTATAGTCAAGTAACTAGTATGAATATAATTGTGTTTGTAGAAAATCATTCAAGGTATGTGTTTTTAATGAAATACTACATATATGGAAAAACAGTCATTATTTCAATAAACTTTGGCAGTGTTATACTTTGTTGTAGATCTTGCATTCAAACAGTTGTTTTGAACCTGTTTCCATTACATTCAAGAAACATTCAACCACATGAGTAAAAAGCATTCTCTGAATGGACAAAACGCAATCCTTCATCAAGGTACATTAAACAACTTACAATTCCTATTTGTTTTGGATCTGTATTACCACCTTTAAGAAAAATCTAAATGTTCCCAGTCTATATTGTGAAACCTTCTAAATTCACATTTGCTTTTCAAATTACTTGTTTGATTTTGGGCTTTTTTAAGCCCAAAATTCAGATTTTTTTTTTAGGTTTTTTTTTTAGGTTTTTAAAATTAGACATCCATTTGATAATATGGGGGATTACATGTTTTCCATTCTCTCCATACTTCTTCTGTGCTCTTGTTTTTGGTTTAGTTTAACAATAGTTAACACTATTTCTAGTCCAGTCAAATTTAAAAGGGTTGATAATGTCTACAGAGTATCTGAAATTAAAAATTGTGTTTATTAAGGGGGGGTGGAGAGTTAATTTTAAATTATTTCTTAAAGCAGAACATTACCCAAATGATGCATCTTTTATGTCTAAACAGTAGGGTTTTGTTTACAAATAAATACAACTAAATGGATATCAAGAAGAAGCTCAAATGAATGTCCAAGTCTTAATATCTGAAGAAATCACAGATGTGATAATGGGTATGTAAAAAAAGTACCTCAGAATATTTATTGGAATGTTCTGGAGTTTTTAAATATCTTCATAACTGCAGCAATGAGATAAACAAAAATTGCACAATAATTGCAGCTGACAACTAGATTAATAATACTACTATTTCAAAATATTTGGTAACATGTATATTTACAATCTTACTCATAGGTGTCTCACTGAGGGTCAGATTGTGCTGTCCTTACGTCAAATAATTTCTTAAATTGCACGTAATCTCATTAATTCAATGTGGAGGATGATGGCAAAACATGACCATAGTGACTAAAACCAACAGTTGCTTCTTTCAGTCTTTGACAGCTGCGAGAGCAGCTTTTTTCCAAACCATCCATCCTAAATTCCAACCCGTAGGAGTATGGACCTATATTTAGCTAGCAAGATTAAGTTGCAGAGGCCTCAGGCAGGGCAAAGCACATTGGTCTGCCTTTTTTACAGACAGACCTTTGGGCAGAGAACAACTAAAGCTTTCTGCTCCCTCCCCTTTCCCAAGTGTTTGCAAAATGGATTCCCAAAGGGAACTCACTGAAGAGCTCAGACTTTACCAATCCACCCTTCTTCAGGATGGCCTCAAGGAACTCCTCGAAGAGAAAAAGTTTATAGATTGCTCTCTAAAAGCTGGTGACAGAAGCCTGCCTTGCCACAGACTGATTCTGTCGGCATGTAGCCCTTATTTTCGTGAGTATTTCTTGTCTGAGCAAAATGAAGAGAAAAAGAAGGAGGTAGTTCTAGATAATGTTGACCCCAACATCCTGGATATGATTGTTAAATACCTTTATTCAGCAAGTATTGATCTTAATGATTCTAACGTGCAAGATATCTTTGCTTTGGCCAGTCGCTTTCAGATCCCTTCTGTGTTCACTGTGTGTGTCTCCTATCTTCAGAAGAGGCTTGCTGTTGGTAACTGCCTGGCCATCCTTCGGTTAGGTGTTCTGCTTGATTGCCCAAGACTTGCATTTTCTGCTCGTGATTTTGTCTCAGATCATTTTGTGCAGATCTGCAAAGAAGAGGACTTCATGCAGCTTGCCCCACATGAACTTATTTCAGTTATTTCACCTGACAGCTTAAACGTAGAGAAGGAAGAACTGGTATTTGAAGCAGTAATGAGATGGGTCCAAACAGACAAGGAGAACAGAGTAAAGAGCCTGGGGGAAATTTTTGACTGCATACGTTTTCGTCTTATGCCAGAAAAATATTTCAAAGAACATGTTGAGAAGGATGATATAATTAAAAGCAACTCAGACCTTCAGAAAAAAGTAAAGATTATTAAGGATGCTTTTGCTGGAAAACTGCCTGACACTAGCAAAAATACAGAAAAGTCAACCAAAGGGGAGGTGAATGGCGATGTAGGAGATGAAGATCTGCTGCCTGGCTACCTAAATGACCTTCCCAGGCATGGCATGTTTGTCAAAGACTTAATTCTTCTGGTTAATGACACTGCTGCAGTAGCTTATGATCCTCTAGAAAATGAATGCTATCTAGCAGCGCTGGCAGAACAGATTCCCAGAAATCATTCCAGTATAGTCACCACACAAAATCAGGTCTACATTGTTGGAGGACTCTATGTAGAAGAGGAGAATAAGGATCAGCCTTTCCAGTCATACTTCTTCCAGGTATAAGCTTTACAATTGTTGGTGTGATAATAGCTTCTTGTGAGAGTTACTGAAAAGTATTGATTCTATGCAAATGAGTTGTCTAGTCTCTCTGTACAGTCAATAGAGAGAAGTATCCATAGAGAGCTACTCCAGAGAAATAAATGAAACTAAGGGACTTGCATCTTCTCTTTCAAGAGCAAGTCCCTGGTGAGATCTCAGAAAATATTAAAATAATTCCTATATTTATGTACTGGCTTTCATTGTTTAAAATGAAAGATTTTTTTGTGGTAGAGATGCCTAAATTTAAGCCTAATATTTTTGTAAAATATCTTTTGTGAATTTCTGTTAGCTTCCATAAAGTGTGCGTGCTTAGCTGCTTTAGAGCTAATGAGATTTCATTCTTTTTTTTGCTTCTGAAATATTTTTATGACAGCAGTAACATATATTAAATGCCACTTTTGTCACTTAAATTCCAGGAGTCCTTTTGCCACATCTACATTTGCAAGACTAAGGGCATTCTAAAATATATAATTTAGAGGTGAAAGCTTGTTTTCTTGGCAAACTGTCAATGTCAGAAAGCCAAATACTATGTCTCAACTGAGAGAATAATTTTCTGTCTTTGTAAATCTGTATAAATATAAGGCAAATTAATACAAACTTCCACAGCGTATTTCAGAAAATGAGCAAAAAGATAATTTGGCATGTTGTTTTTAACTAAGTGGCTACATGCTTTGGAGGGTATTTGAACTATTCCATGATGAATTATGCTGCTGGCCATGTCCTGTCCTGAGGCACATTATCCTAAAAAGAGTGAAAATAGGTCCTGTTTCAATATGAAATAAAGCACAGTGATAAGTAGTGATAGAATTTTAAAGCCTTCAGACACAAAAAAAATGCAAGTATTAGGTGTTTATAGCACTATGGCTCACTGTGATTTCACATACAATGAAAAAGTTGGTTTCAGGCATTTGTTATACCTATGAGAGCTTAGTCTTAATTTGCTAGAGAGAGATTAGCACTGTTTCATTTCCCTATGGAAGGTGTAAAACTCTAATCATTAAAGTGCAAAACTTGTTACCATAATACTCTTTGAATAGAAGAACTGTATTGATGTCAAAACATATATAATCCAGAACTGAATAGTTAAGTCTCAGGCTACTAGAAGGGCCTCTGAAAAACTAAACCTCAAGATTGATATTAAAAATTGATGTTTTCAGAATCCTGCTTTATATGCCTACATCCATTTCCTGAAATCCTCTTGGGTTTTTTGTCATCTTTAAGTTTGCTTGCTAGTGCCTATAGTTAAAATACTTATCTGCATTACCCATGTGGATGATGTTCCCTCTAGAATGATAATGTGGTGCCAAACCGATTTTCATTTGCTGACCTCCTCTACCAGTGAAGCACCTGTTACCATTTTACTGGGTAGCTAGCAATCCAGGAGAAAACAAAGCTGCTGCTGGCTTAAAAAGGCATGACTACTTTATGCCCTATCAACAAGAGCTATGTCATCTTTTATGACTGATTCACTAAGCATGTTCTGATCCGTGATGGGTACATCTTCTCAGCATTACCCATGTCCATGTATTAAATCTCACTGCTGTAATAAAAATTCCTGTCCAATAGGAGTGTTCTATCAAATCTGGGAGATGCGTTTTTGCCTGGAGACCTTGACTGTGAAACATACTTCTGGAAAAAGGATGTCACTGCACTGAACCCAGATTCTCAGATCAAAACAAAAATTAAGCAATACCATTCTAAGGAAACACTGTTTTGTTTTTTCTTCTGTCCTGCTACTGCTTCTCTGTAGATGTTTTCAGCATACTGAAAGTGAGCTGAGATAGCCATGGGAGTGCTTCAGTAGGGATGCTATCTGTATTATTGCCTAGGGAACTGCACTGCCTGCTTTTTATGTGCTTTTTTATGTTTCCTGACCTATTAAAGGAACTGTGAGGGTGTCTGGCAGCTCTGATTGTAGTGATGAGCACACCAGCTAAATGTGTAGGACTGGAATGGCAGTAGTTGTCTGCTCCCTGCAGGCAGGAAGAAGAACAACTTGTTTTTTTCAACATGATGGGGTATCCAGAGAGTGAGGAACATTTAAACAAGGAAGAAGAGCTTAGTAAAGAGGCAAAAACTATGAGGATGGGTGAGGGTGAGCAGATGCAAAGAGACATGTGAGGCATTGACTGCTAGGTCTCGTCACCGTGAAGCATAGGTGGCACTGAGGGAAAGGTAGGCTGCTCAGGCAAGCAGATGAGCTGTACAGAGACACTGAGTGCAATTAGATTTATTTTGTGGAACTATGTTCATTGTGTGGATGTTTGCTGTTTGCCTTTCCTAACACTTGCTGTTCTGATGCTGTTTCAGCTGGATAGCATTGCTGGTGAATGGGTTGCACTTCCCCCACTGCCGTCAGCCAGGTGTCTCTTCGGGCTGGGAGAGTCAGACAACAAGATCTATGTAATTGCAGGCAAGGACCTTCGCACTGAGGAGTCTCTAGATTCAGTATTGTGCTATGATCCTGTGTATGTTTAAAATTCACTTATGCCCACTGAGGACATTTAAATAGCCCATTGCTAGTTGAAAGAGCCTAATGGTGATATTCTTGTTCCAGAGCAATGAAATGGGGTGAGATCAAAAAACTACCCATCAAAGTATATGGCCATGCTACTGTCTCAAACAATGGATTGATATATTGCCTTGGTGGAAAAACTGATGATAAGTGAGTCTCTTAAGTCTTTTCATGACAACTTATAACATTATTTGGTTGGTCTTTTATAGATTGTATATCCTCACATTCCAACATCAGGGTTTAATTTTTTTTGCATCTCTGGATTAAGGCGGCAAACAAATTGGCATAGGAGAACATGTTATGGTTTATCTGTTTCATGATACAGTATAATTGCACATACATTGTAATCCCAACTCGTTATTTAATTACTTATTTCCAAGGCAAATAATTACTTAGATTGTAGACAGGTAAGTAAGAGATAGCTATGAGGACCCTCACTGAACATAGTATTTCTTTGCAGATAGAAATACTTAGGTGCTATGGAATTACTGTGTCAATTTTTCATTTTCTGACTTGTGATGCCCGTTATACCTTAATGAGTATAACACTGGGGAAATTCAAGTTTTCACTCACTGAGCACGTGGTGGTAATTTTTTAGTTTGTAGAGGGACATCTGAGATACCAGCTTGTCAATTTAGTCAACACAGCAGCATGATCCTTCTTTTATAACATTTGTCATACATTCCTTCACAAACCCATCTGAATAGAATACTCTGGGCGAGATTCTTTTCTTTCTCCTGTAAGGTACAGTGAAATAGCTGCCCTGTGTAAGCAGCATTTAACATTTAATTTAGTCCTATAGTTGTGATAAGTGATTTGCAGATATGTACAGATTCTCAGATCAGACACAGAAAGGATCTTCTGGAGAGGAAAGAGGTGTACATAAACCCACACTCCACCTCAACTAGGTCTCACTTGAACAAGCCAAAAATTCATTAGCAATTATCACAGGTTTTCTTTTTCCTCCCCAGGAAATGCACTAATAGACTATTTGTATACAATCCCAAGAAAGGAGACTGGAGAGACTTGGCTCCAATGAAAGTGGCTCGCTCGATGTTCGGAACAGCTGTCCATAAGGGCAAGATTTTCATTGCAGGTGGTGTCACTGAAGAAGGCCTTACTGCATCTGTTGAAGCTTTTGATCTGACCACCAACAAGTGAGTGTAATATTCAAGCTGTTTTTAAGTGTTTTATCATCTAGGCTTTAGGAGCTCTAAGAGTCAGAGATGCTCAGGTGCCTGTACACCCACTGAGACGCTTGGTCTACATTATCATTAGCAACAACAGCAGCAGCCTAAAGAGCCTGTATCTCTGGCCATGTTTCCTGCCCTCTCACCCCCCCACTTTTCTATGCTGCATTGTAAACATGATCAAAGACCTCATGTAACAAAAATAAATCCCCTCTATTGTTATTTTTTGTCTGATTACTTTCCCAACTTAATTGACCATACAGTCACATAAACAGGTGTGCGGGCATAACAGGTGAGAACTGGGACAGGCAAGGGCCACGCAGTCTGGGTGAAGCAGCTCTGGCACTGAACATTAAACCCCAGCAAAAGAAATCAGGTGCCTGAACAGGACTAGCTGAATGTCCTTTGAGTGCTTGGCCTTGTCATGTTTGCTGTTTACCTACTTTGTCAGGACAAATACCACTTACCACTAGTTAATGACAGGCAGATAATTCTTAACTTACTATGAAAACTCTAGGAAGATTTTCAATTTTAAGTGCATGCTCTGAAATACTATAAAGAAAAAGTAATGTCAAAAGAGACTAAGTCAACCTGGAATTAGCTTACTTATTTGGTCCAAATACTTTCCAGTGTTCTTCCTCACAGCCAGGATCTTTTTCAGTGAGTATCCCCCAAATGTTTATGATTTTCCAGGAGTTCATACCCTCTGTACCAGTGTCTTTCTACTCTTTATTTTCCTTTTTGTCACTTTTGTTACTTTTCCTTCCTCTTATATTCTGTACAAACTTTCATGTAAAATAATATCTGTAAAGCATTATTATGATAGCTCAAACTTGTAAGTGGTCCTGGATGCACCTTTATTTTATTAATAAGCACTTTTGTTGAATATAAATGCATTTGGCTGTGCTGTCTTTGCTGATGGGTGGCATCGCAGCCATCAACCTACAACAAAAGCTTTAATTTAAATGTATGTTATCCCAAAGAGACTTCCTTATAAAATTTAACAATAGCAAATGTGAATTTTGCGGGAAGTAATTCTGTGAGGGAACTTCAGACTTTGCAGCTTCTAAAGAAAGCCAAGGAAAATAAAGATGATTTTGTTAACAGGATGTTTGGCACATCCTTCTCTTCCATTGCTCAGAAACACATCCAGTTTGTGGTCTGAAAAAGCTACAGCTTCTTATGTTGCTTTGCTCTGTCTGTTTTGTTACAGTTAAGTTTCACAAGTGAAAGAGACAAATTAGCTGGCTAGTTTCGATGTTGACATTATCCAGAAGTGGGATGTCTGTACGTTTTACATGTTCGTAGGTGTGAATTGGCAGAAAACTTGAAATTATGCTACTGATCTCCAGTGACTTTTTTTTTTTTTTAAATTCACATTATTCTCTCAATACCACTTGAAATGAATATGTTTTGGAAATTAGAGGGACAAAATCAGAGTCACTGGGGAACAACAAATCTGTCCAAGGCTTATTACTGATGATGGGACCAGGCAGCCTGTAAGAGGTGGTCTCTGGAACAAGATGCCATTACAGTGTCATGCTGTCACTTAAGACTTGCAGGATGTCCCTGCAGGGACGGAGACACTGAAACTCACTGCTGATAGAATGTCAGAATTGTTTTCCTTTTATTAAACCATTCACTCAAGCAGTCCTTGGTGCCTGAATTTATGCCACTCAGAGGTGTATTTTGGTGCATTCAGTTTAGAATATTTCTCATGTGTTTAACTTAGGTTTTTGTTTTCATCTTTAGGTGGGAGGTTATGCCTGAATTTCCTCAAGAGAGAAGTTCCATCAGTTTAGTCACCTTAAGTGGAGCTTTGTATGCTATTGGAGGCTTTGCAATGATTCAGCTTGAGTCTAAAGAATTTGCACCCAGTGAAGTCACTGACATATGGAAGTAAGTTAAATTTTAATCACACTTTCCTGGTGGAAAGCTATATCTAAAGCTGAGATTTGTAGACACTGGAGCGTAAAGCTAGTTTTCTGTTTAACACTGGAAATGAACCATAGCACAAGTCATAAGGCATTTGGTGACAGATTGAAATGTTTGTCAGAAAGTATCGAATAAACATGAGATTTGGATCTAATGACTATTTCCACCTACTAATAATTTGAACAGTCTGAATCATGATCTTCAGATTATTTTACTCTTTAAAAGAGTAAGTTGCCATATCTCTTGGCAGGTTTAGCCTTTTAAGCATACCCTAAAAGGTTCTCTTGTTTCATGACATTCTTAAACAGAAAAGCCTCTATACACAGAGGTTTGTGTGTACTCTTTGATGTTTTAGTAGTCAAATAAGTAATTGTTCTGACAGAATCAGAAATCCCCATCTCCTAGATATTTTAAAAATCTAAATCATGGTAGCAGTGATGAAACATCACATCTAGGCTGTGATCCTTCAGTTCCTAAGGTAAATTCCAAAGTTCTAACTGGCAGAAGGATAGGAAGGAATCCCAGAAAAAACACCTTTATATGTAGGAATCTGAAGGAATTCAGAATATATGCTTAAGGATGAAGCTTTTATAGGAGTAATTAAAGAGTGATGCAGGCCAGCAACAAGCTTTAGAACTATGAAAAGGACAACTCACGTGCAAGAACACTTCCAGTTCTGTTCTGGAGGACAAAAGCCACCTTTTCCGGCACATGGCTCCTACTAGCCTTTGCAACATGTGGACTCTTCTCCTTGTCATGTATGTGTGATGAAGCATCAAACTCAAATCTGCAGAAGTGATGTTCTGACCTTATTTTGTTAAATACAGGTATGATGATGAAAAGAAAGAATGGATTGGCATACTGAAAGAGATCCGATATGCTGCTGGAGCCTCCTGCCTGGCTACGCGCTTAAACCTCTTCAAGTTATCAAAACTGTAAAGAAAATGCTGGAAAATGTGGTATGGTGAGGGAGTTTCAACAGGCTCTTCTCTTTTTGTTGCATGAAAATGTCCCCAAATTGTACAGAGGTTTTGTAGCAGCATACTAGTTCTTCTGTTAACTGTTCAACAGTTCATAGATCTGTCCAAGTCTTAAGATATTTACTAGCTAATCAACAATAACTGAATTTCTGCCAACATTTAAAATCCTGAAGAATTCTAATTAATGTTGATTAGAATAAATTAAGATTTCAGAGAGAACTCCATTTTTCACTCTGTAAAATTGCTAAGAAAACTAGGTAAGACTTCCTTACACTCAGACAATCCAATATATTGGTGGTTTATGCTCAAAACAATGCCCATTAATTGTAAAGTTAAATACCACTAGTAGGTAGCTAATTTTATTCTGACTGGCTGTTTGTGCAGCCTGATTGCCCTTTTCAGGAATGTATGGAAATCCTGCATTCTTTAACCATCTCTTGAAAATGTTTTCATAGAGCCTTCCAAAAGTAATTTAGCCTGAAATTGAAGTTCATATCGAAACAGAAGTGGCCTAAGAAATGCTAACCTCAGCCAAGGCTGTACTAGTAGCCAGATAAGAGGAAACAGAGAAGTTCACAAGGTTAACAGCTCTACTTTTTCACCTACTATGTTCAGGCTTCTGGTAACAATGATTTTCCATTTTTTTATGCTTTTATATTTATTTCCAAAGCAAATATTTTATGGAAGTTTTTCTCAAATCTGAGGCTATTAGCAAGCATCAAGCATTCATGGAAAAGTCCTAGAAGAACTGATCATCAGCAAGTACCTATGGCAGAGTGGACATTTCCCTCTAATAAAGAGCTGATGCATTTTGATGTTGGAACTTTTAACAATTAAATTTTGTTTTTAAAACTGTGAAAGTATGAGTTGATGGTGTCTCTTTTATTGTTCATTTCATCACCAGTATCATTGACAAGACAAAGATTTTTGAGTACAGCCTTTACCCAAAACATAGCACTCAGGTTTCTTGAAGTAGAGCATGCCCACCATTTTTATAAAGTATCTTATCAAAGGATTTCTCCATTTAATAAAGACAATGTCATAAATCTAAAGGATGTGATGAATCTAAATCTAATGACAGCTGATGTAGCAGAAAAACTGGACAAGTCTACCACACCTGACTGAATAGCAATTGACACCTTGCATCGCCTTCCTAGAAGTGAACGTATGTCAAAGGTACAGCCATCATAGATCATTGATGTTACTGTAATGGCAGCTGTAGCAACAAAATGGCTGCCTCTGAAAATGGGTTGATTTGCATTTGATTTGTATGACTGCTCTACAGCTACTGCTCTACAATTAACATTCTCCTGGCTATTCCACATTTTCCTTCTGCATCCCAGAATCTTGTGCCTCCTGACTCAAACCCTGGCTGAGCACAACCACAGGAGGCCTTGTAATTGGCAAGTCGTTTTGAAAGGTCATAAATATACCAGCAATGTTTTTTATGACCAGTAACCAAGGTAACTCACTCTGTGAAGACTTTTCTTGGTCTTGGTTTCAATTTTCGGCCTAATTTTGATTTTTTACATCTTATTTACAGAATAGGCAGGTTAAATGGTTTGTCTAATTTTGTTTTCTTTCTATTAGCAAGGGCTGAGCCAATGCATAATGCCATTGTAAAAAAGTTCATTAATTATCCAGCATTATTTTCTCCTTATCTCAGATAAATCTCTCAGGTATTTCTTCCAAGTTGCATTTAACCAGAGTACAGGTCTTCCATGGGTCTGGTGGTTACCTCTAGAACTAGTCTATTTTTTCAGTATGTGCAGGCTCAAGCCATACTTCTGCACAGACATCACAGGATAGGAGAAGCAGCTGGCGGTCCCTCACTGCACAACACCCTCCCCCAGTACAGTCACCCACAGTACCTCTGTTCTGGAAGATGGAAACAGAACAGCTGTAGCAGCATCCTAATCTTAGCAAATCTGCATTTCAGTTTCTTGGTTTCATAGTACAGATACAGTCTGATCCCTATTGCTCATTCTGTCACATGATAGAAGACAGACAGTTTCCAGTAGATCTGCTGCCTCTTCTCTGACAGTCAAGAATATTTCCAACTTTTTCTTTGGTCAGCTTTATATCTGGCTACGGCTCTGCTTTATTGAGGAAATAATAATGTATTTTTATGACAAAACTCTCACGTATTTAGACTCACGTATTTAAAGAACAGCTTCCAGGTAATTTAAGCATCCTTAAGATTTTAAGCATCCTTATCTTCATGGCCCGTTGTTACCTGCCTCTTGCAATACCAGAAAACCAGGTTAAATCTCTTGACACCTGATGCCCCATGGAAAGCCTTCATCCAGCTGACTCACAGATAAAGACATTTTTGCAAGTAAGTACTCCAGGATTAGAAGGAGTTTAATGGTACATGATGTGTTCATATAAAAAAATACTTTTGACTACATGTCTGACATCAGTGTATTCCACATAGATGCTTTCTTAGATATTCTAGCTGTTCACCTTTTGTCGACAGAACCATAGAATTCCATTCAAAGTGAGGAATCTGTAGAACAGAATCATACAAACTGAGTATTAACATTGGCTGGTATAAGCCATGTAGCACCTTACAGCAACGAAAAGGCTCTTTAATATCTGTTGTTATCCACTTAAAGATATTTTATCACCTGTGTCCTTCTAAAAGCTAGGCTTATTCTAATACTGAAAAGAATAATTTCTTCATCTAAATATAGTCAGTTTGCTTCCAAAATGCAGCACATTTTCAGAGATGTAAAGCAGATACCCAAGCAATACAGGCTATAACAACTCCATTTCACTATCTCCCACCTTTTGAAACCCAAAAAGAGAAAAATCCCAATCACTATAGTTAGTAATGTTAATGCATCAAACTGGAATGGCATATCAGTAAAGTAGCTTTTACTGTCAGGGTAATATAAGTAAGGATGTTCAACCTGTTAAAGAAAAAAACGCACAAACCTTAAGCTTAAAGAGGGATCTTAGCTAAAATTAGAGTAGGTAATTTTATATATATATAAGACTCTGCAAAAATGAGCCTCCATTTTCCCAGTGTTTCCATGCTGTTGTCTGTGAATTAACTCTGGCCACTAGTCTTCCCTGTCACAGCACGATCACTACTGCAGACAGACAATATACATAAGCCATGTTGCAGCAGCCGTAACTGTCTCTCTTACCACTCAAGGAGGGTACGTTCAGTCTTCTTCTAGAGTACAAATCTTTGGTGAACTGAACTCAAACTCTTGTTTGACTTCTCCTTTACTCAGGCTATGTCAAGACTGCTAGTTTGCCTGCAGTATGGCAAGATTGAGACCTTTTGACTTCAGTTTTGCTGCAGCCACTTTCAGAGAAGGTGCAAGTTCTATGAAGACCTTGACAACAGCCTGGAATTTCCTTCCTAAATACAAAAACTGCTCTCATCCAGAAGGTGCTTTTAACTATTAGCTATCTTTCAATCTGTTGGAAGGGAAATGTATCACTCTGCACTATCTATACAAATCAGAAAGGACACAGAATATTGGTGACTGCTCACCTGAACTACCCGGTATCCCAGCATTTCCAGGTGTCGTTTTTTCATTGCAGGTTCTCCTTTCAGGTGACGTGAATTTTTGCTAAAAGCTTTTGAATCAAGAAATTCCAAAGCAATTCTGCAAAAAACAAAAATGTGCATTTACTTTCAGGTTCTACCTGAATAACAGTAAGTGGTATTTCTAGTTCAGTATTGATAACTGCTGCAAGACTATTGCTAGATAAATATGACAATTCATAGAAAAAGAAAATTAACTCCATGAAACTAGGCAAAATACCTTCCTCGTATTTATTTGGAGATATTTGAACATCACTTGATTTAGAAAAAGCATTTCTGCTATGCATCTATTTTTGTACAAATGGTGAAAATGGCTAACTAGCATTTTCAAGGCTTACATTTTAAGAGGTGGTAGGAAAACAGTACTCCAATCTCGTGAAACACATTTCAAGAATGTCCCGTCTGCCCTAGGAACTGGGTCTGCTTGGGATAGAGTTACTTTTCTTCACAGCAGCCTGTATGGTTCTGTGTTTTGGTTCAGTGACCAAAAACGTGTTGATAACGCACGAGTATTTTGCCTGTTGCTGAAGAGTGCTTGCACAACATCAAGGCCTTCTTTGTTTCTCACTCTGCACCCAGTGTATAGGCTGCCATTAGCAAAGGTTGGGAGGTGACACAACTGGAACTGGCCCAAGCAGTATTCCATACCATAAGCTCAGCAATACAACGGGGAACTTTTTCCAAACTAGTTGTTGCTAGTAGTGAGTGACTGCATTTGCATGAATTGTTTTCCCTTTTTTGTTGTTGGTTTTTTGTTTATTTCTTGTTTTTTTTGTTCCTCTGCCTTCCATTCATTTACTAAACTGTATTAATTGCAACCCAGGAGGTTTTTTTATTCACTTTTGCCCTCTAGATTCTCTCCCCTGTCAAGCTGCAGAAGAGTTAGCCAACAACGAGGTGGGAAGTTAGTTGCTGGCTGGGGTCAGCCCACCACACCTAGGAAGGCTAAACCTTGTAAGGCTTTGGAAAAAGGAACAGAAAAAATAGCCTAGGGTTTGCAACAACCATTTAGGACATAAGCATCAAAAACCTTGTCTAAACTTGATCTAAGCTTGGAAGCTTCAAAGAGCTAATGTGCAAGAATTTAATGGACTAACCTCTGAGCTCCAGGAGGCAGGGTATTTTTCCTTGCATTGTTCATGTCATGTCGCAAGTGTATTCCCTCCAAAGGTATATTCTGAGCTATATAGGGAAGAGGCTTTTTATTTTCATCCATAATACACTCAAAATCTGTGAGAAAATACAACAAACCTGTTTACTGACACAAAAAAGGGTGAAATAATTTGATCTGTACAGTGTTTACTTCCGGAAAAACTAAGTGATAACCATAATATGATATATCCAACATTATTTATATTACACAGAACATTTTAGAAAATGTATTTGATAAAGCATTTTCTACTTTGCAGCATCTTATGGCCACACATCATGGGGCTTCCTCGTTTTGGTGATAATAGTGGAATTGCAGATCTCCATTACAATCCTTAGAGGATGAACTTCTTACCTATTTGATAGTAGTATGGTGTGAGAACAGATATTCTTGCATAATTGCTCCCTCCTAAGATCTCTGTCAGCACTCTGTGAACATGCTGTCGCAGTGGATTTATTCGGCTACTGCCTATGAAGACAAAACAAAGAATTAATACCTAAAAACATCCACAGCCAATGTTTTGAAAATAGTACTTCATGACACTGCATTTTGACAGGCAATCTACTGAATTAATGCTTTCCTACAGATCCCTGGTGTTATTTCATTATAATTCAGAGACAATTTGATAATCTTTTGGGTGGAAATTGGCAGGTGCCAATTAAGCACAAATTTCAAACACAGACTTTCCATCCCAGGGTTTTTCCCACTGATATACTACTAACACTTTAGTTTCAGGTTTTACCTGTTGGATTTTGTTTGCTCTTAATTGTACTTAAGACAGTTAAATAAGTATTTACTTATTTTGCATCTATCACAGGCACACCCCACTATCTATCACTTCTCTGTTGCAGATTGTTTAATACCTTGCTCTTTGGAACATCTTCAGTCTCAGAGATAAAGCAGCCGAGTTCAGTGGCAAATCAAATCTCCCCAACGAGAATCTGTGAGTTTGCATCAGCTGGATTTTCTGAAAACTGATCACTATTCTGAAAGATCTCAGCTGCTACACTTGACTGCTAGCCTACTTCTCCACCCCTCATCCTTGATGAACCTTGATTCTTCTGAGGAAGATAACAGAAGCGAGTTCAAAAGGAGGCAGCAAAAACACTCACCTTGGAAAATTTTAAGTCAAAAGTTCAGTCTTGTAAGTGTCTCACAGATCAAAGTGACCCATCTCCTCCAGTAATCATTATGATCATCTTCCTGCCTTTCCATCCTCCATGCCATGTACAACTGTTCCTGGGTATTTAAATTTTGTTTCTTATTTAGAAATATCCCTCTCTGCCACACTAATTCTCCCAGGGAGAACTGCTTGCTGTCTGTCACACTACTAAGCAGTTGCACTTTCAAGAACACATCCTCAGCAGAGAGTGGGGTGCACCCTTCTGTGCTTCTATTGTGTACTAGTGTCAATGTGACAGTTTAGAAGCAGCATCTAGCAGACAGTTGAAAACAGACTATTACTAGTAATAAGGGCAGCTTTTCCTCTCCTGTATTCCTTACTGTTATGGAAGACACGCTGGCAGTCGCGCTCATGAAACCAAGGGATGTGCAACTCCGGGCATTCCAGACAGACTGCTCTGTTCAACTTCATGAGGCGGGAACGGACCCTCCGCTTTAGGGCATCAGGCAGGACTGAGTTCAACAAAATAAAAAGGTGTGAACTGAAATGTGAAAAAGCCAACTCACTGCACTAAATTACTACCTCTGAATTCTTTACTAGAGATGCAAATATCTATACATTACAGCATTAAAAAAATTAATGCTGCAGAATCTTGGAAAGTTTCTTCAAAATCACTGAGGAAAATGTGAAAAATGACAGTTTTGCTTAAGAACAACACCAAAACAGAAGAAACTAGCAATCTGAATGCTCTTCTATAATTTATCTTTTAATCAAATGGTTGAAGGCCAAATGACAACAGTACATTGATAGCAAACAATGTACAAGTAGAGAGGAAAGAAACATTCAAACACTCAAGTCTCTTATTTAGAAAGAAGAGACTCATGGGACTTACTTCTTTCAGACAAGAATCCCACATAATTTCTTCAGCTTTGTGACTACTTCTAGTAATAAACTACCACACTCAGGTAATATTATTTCTAACAAAATTGAAGAATTATTAAATACTGAGTGCAATAAGCTGACTAATTTTTTTTTTTTAAATCAGCTTCTTTCATCTGCAATGTAAGTGTATACTTTTAAAACAAAGCACAAGTTTTTGTTCATTACTTCCTTTTTAACACTCAAATAATAACTATAATATATAGAGGGGCCTTTCCAGAAAAATAAATTGTTTAAAGAGTAATTCTACTTCTCAAGTCATATACAGGCCCACAATTCCATTTTATGCCAAATGCTAAGTAATCTAATTCCCACAGAGCTAGATATTTACCTTCAAGTTGAGCAGCCAGTTCACTTAGGAAAGATACATTAAATATCTTGTTTATCAGAAGTGGAGGAAAATACCCAGCCACTGCCAAAACATGACCAAGCAGCACCAACTGATGAGCTTCAAAACAACCTTTAAAAAACAGAAATTCCTATTAACACATGACATAAAATTGAAAGGACTTGCAATTCTCTCCCAAGTCATCCAAGTTTCTCTCCTGATGTACTGAATGAAGATGCAGACAGATGAAGGACTACTTCTGCTAACTGCACCAACGTGAAGGTCAACTCTTGCCAGGTCTGTGCAGAAGGAAACTAGTTAGTCTTAGAAAAAGGGAACTCCACAATATTTCAGTAGCTAGCAAATCTTCACAGTTCTGTAAGCCTGTATCAAAAAAGCTCCAGGTAGTTAATCAGAACATTCACTTGCTTTTTACTACACTCCAGATGCCTTGCTAGTACCTTATCAACAGTAATTTTTCAAGGGTGAAATGAAGCTATAAAACCCAACAGAAGCATACATGGAATCTTTGTTGTGATTTAACCCCAGCAGGCAACGTATTAGTAGTAATATATAAAAACACTTTTTTCTTTGCTTAAAAATAAGGCGTTCTATTCCCATTTTTATTCAGTACAAAGAATATCTTCCAATTATATTGATTTATGTAGTGTCAGAGTATATTTGTTTAAGGCACTTACTTAAGTTAGAAGTAAGATGTTGGATACAATTTTCAAAGAACTCTTCATCAGCAGGCGGGTCATAATTCAGAGCAGAGAAAAGGAAGAGAATAAAATAGATTTCAAAGGGGTGGATCTAGAAAAAAATACATCCTAAATTAAGTCACTGCAAATTATTGTAACATTGGTTTACAATAAAAAAGGGGGTTATAAGTCATTCAGAACTTGGAAATTTAAGACTAGATGAGCAATTTTCTATATTTAATTTTTTGTCAACTTTTCCTGGAGATTTATTTTTTTTTAAATAAAATACAGAAATCATTAAAATTGTAGCTATGGCTAAAACTTAAAATCTGTTTCATGTAGATGATCCAAGTGCTTCTATATACTTAAGACTTCCAAGAAGCTTTTGAAAAGGTTTCCCATTAAATGCCCTTAAAGAAACCAAAATGTCATAGAATAAAAATAAAGATCTATATAAATACCAGATAGAGAAGGAAAAAATAAAAAAAAAAGGCGAGAAAACACAGTCACTTTGACCAAAAGGCCAAGTTATTGGGGAAATCCGTGCAAGAATAATAGTGTAAAAATATACACCATGTGATATGATTATTTGTAAAGGGATTAAAAAAAATATTCGGGATGGTCAAATATAAAGCTGAACGGAAAGGATTATGGTTGACCTAACACAGACTGAACAATGAAATAAGAAAGGAAATTAAAGACAAGTAAGTGCAAAATAATGTACAGGGAAGTAAAACACATTTGAATAAACACAGAAAAGGATGAGCTCCAAATCAGGAGAATCATTGTGTGGGTTGTGCTCTGAAACACATTAACTACTTCCTTGTCCTTTCTTACTGATTAACTTACATAGTAGATAGAAAGAAAAACTGCAATACCTTGTCTATGTTTTCAACAGTCACAGAAGCTATTTGGTCAAGTAATGAAGGACAATGGTGGTTTGTTTTTATGAGGAAAAAAGACAACTGTGATACATTTGCCCATGTTATCTGGTCTATCAAACATAGACACACAGCCATAGTTTCCTCACTGAGGACTTCTTTAAACCACTCTCCATTCAGATGTGTAAATTCTTCCAACAGAAGATTTAAATTGTTGGCTTTCTGAAGCCTCTGAAATGCACAGTCATTTACTTTTTGCAGAAGCTTTACATGTAGGTCAGAACTGTTTTGCCAGTGCAACTGGTCATAATGATTCCATTTGACAAGAGCTGTAGCGATGCAATTCAAATGATGGAGCCTACACTGAGGCAGAACTGTTGCTGCTTTGTTTATAATGGTTTCCTCCACTTGAAAGGAAGGAAGCATGGCCAGAACACGAATTATTGCAGCTGTATCAGCAGGTATGACACTAGGTTTTAAAAACCTGGAAAAGAAACAAAAAGAAACACAAACCATCAGTACTCACAAAGTGCAAATGTTTTTAAAAAACTCCACAAACAAAATAAAGAAAAAAAAACAAAATTACATTAATGAAAATGCTATTTTTAAAGTCTAAAGCTGCACAGGAAATATAAGTAGAAAATTAATTACATGGTAGAAATTCACACAGTGATTACCATCTTTTATTCACTGAGATTAACTTCTTCCTTCTAATTTATTCAAAATTGAAAAAGGGAAGAAGACAAAGAGCATCTCAGTCAGCTGGTGAGGCATCAAGTGTTACCCATAAACAGAAAAATCCTTAGTAAGGGCAGAAAGTCCACCTTTGTTAACAGTCTATGGATTTCTGGGCCCGCATAATTTCTGTGATTTCTGTCCTGAGGAGCACCAGGTTCTGAGGTGCCTGAGGAATGTGAAAGCATAATCCACAAAAAACATGTACAGCCAGGGCACTGCATTCCTAGAAGAGGAACAGTGGCAGATCTCTTCTTCTGCAATTCCAGAAATGGCTTCCCTTTCTACATTGCAACTGTACAAGCCTGAGACCTAACTAGACAGTTCTTCCATCAGAAGAAAAGTATTTCTGCCTCACACTTTAACTTGTCCCAACCACGTAATTTTTACTGTATATTTTTCATAACTTGTTCCTCCAAACATCAAAGAAGACACGGATTCCTGCCCTTCCTATAAAGTACCAATCAAAATTTCCTGTTCAATGTCATTATATTGCAGTGGCCACAGGGCAAAAAAAATTTTTTTTTAAACATATATTTATTAGCAGATACCATTTGGTCTACAGTCAAAACAATGTCCACTTTCTATCCTCTGATTTACATGTTTAATAGAATAAAATGTTTTAAACAGTTTTATACTTCTTCATATTTTAGGGGAACATAACAATTTAACATCTTAGCTTGTCATTTAAAAAATTAAGTAGACAACAGTTTAACACTTATATAGCTACATTTCCAAGAATACACACCCAAGTAGTAACATCCTCAGTTTGGCAAACAGCTCCAGATTGTGGCAACGCAATACCACCAAGTACTGTGTTAACTTTACCAACTGTAATAGATTATAGTTATCCAAGTGTTTGTGCAGAACAGAAGCCATTCTGAATACAAAAAGAAAAAGATGACATGGTATTACACCAATACAGAAGATACTGCAAAACCCAACATGGCACATGGAGAAAGGGTCTCCCGTGGTGGTGGTGCACAGTACCTAGATAGAGGGTATGCTATTGCTCACAACCTGCATTTAACTGTGCTGCATCTGTGACGTGTCTGATGCTACATCTTCTGTGCACAAAATCTCTACTACTTTTCTCTTCATTGTATGAAAGATATTACCTCTCCCTGTAACTAACATTCAGTTTTCAACTGCAAAACACCTGCCCAGGTCCTTAAAGACAAAAGACACAGTAATTCAAAGTAGGGCACAATAACTTTTGAAGAAATAATCCACATCAATGACAGGATAGGGAACATTTCTCTGCAACTTGGAACTCATTTGTCTCACCAGTTTACAGTAACTCTTAAAAGTTTACTCAAATAGGATCACATATTTTTAAATAAGCCAAATATTATTACATTAAATTGGTAAGGTTGAAATGCCCTTCTATAAAATTTGGAAATTACCTCAATTACTTCTGGGTCATTCTGTGATGTTCTAAAATCTGTAATAACTAATGAAACATGCGCATGTACATTCATGTACAAGTGACACACTTTCCACTCCCAGCTTACTGGATATTATATAGTTTTCCATACCAAATGGAAGTAGTTTACCTAGAGAATACAACTTCTTAGTAGTATAAAAAAAAAATTACTTTTTGAGTAGATGAGAATTTCTGCATTTCATTTTCTGCATTGTCTTGAGTATTATCAATACCTGATGACTGCTAAATTCTTCTGCCATGGATGCTGCAGTTACTAGCAACCTAAAGAGGAAAAGAAAAGATATATTTTCCAAAGAAAAACAGTTGAAAATCTCTAGCAAAAATTGCAGCCATTTTCTTTGTCTAGGAAGGAAAGAATCAATAACTACTTAAGGAAATATTGGAAAACAAATTCTCCCAAACTGGAGACCTTTATTCTGTTGACCCTTCTGCTAAACAGTTTATCTGTATGGTGCAGATAAAGAGATGTGAGTCTGTTAGATCAGTACATAATGTTCTGACACTAGAAACCAGCAATTCTGAATGTAGACAAGAAGGGAAAGTACTCTGAGACACTAAACAATGCACCATCAATCAGTAAGCTCCAGATACTAGAATGAAATATGAGCTGAACTGGCTCTGGGGCAAATAAAGCTAATGACTATTTTTGTCTCACACTGATTTTTACTAAAAATAAAGTAAGCTTTTCAAAATCTAGGAAAAGCTTTTGGAACTAAGTCAGGTAAGGCACCAACACAGGCTTGCAGTACATCCAGATCTCTGAATAGAGGCAGATGTTAATGAAGAAAAGTAAAAACTGTAATTAATTGTAATTAATATGGCAAATTCTGCCTAAAACTGAAGACTTTCAGAGACACATCACTAATGCTACAACAAATTTTGTAGCATAAAAAAAAAACCAACACAAAAACCCCCCAAAAAAACCCCAAAAAACCAAACCAACCAACCCAGGCAGAGAAAAATCTGCCACACAATACTATGGTGCAACACCTAAATAAATGCTGAAGTGTTCCCTGCTGATGACCTTCCATATAGAATAGGACATACAGCAAACTCAGATAGGACAGTACTCAGGCTGTTTAAGCTACTGCCAGTCTTAAAAAGGAAAAAGCAGCAGATACTACTGCATATATTTCTCAGGGGAATTAAAGTTTTTTACTACCATCCATCGTGAAAGGAAGGCTGCAGTCTAAAAGACAGAGGTACAAGATGGTCTTGCATAACAGCATTCACAAACCCCTTGATTACCGAATCCAGCCTTCTATGCAAATGTTCTAAGACAATCTGTTATAACTATGCTTCCACAATTAAAGAATACATTGCTACAAAGTTATAACTAGAAAACCTAATGCTGGCTCAAGGGATAGGTTCAGAAATTCCACCAAATCACAGAATTGCAGAATGTTAGGAGTTGGAAGGGACCTCTAGAGATCACCCAGTCCAACATCCCTGACAAAGCATGATCACCTAGGGCAGGTCACACAAGAACACATCCAGGGGGGTTTTTCAAAGTCTCCAGAGAAGGAGAATCCACAACAGGTACTCATCTGGGTACATTTTTCATTTCTGTGCAATACTATGTATATACCATAAATAAGATAAAATAAACTTACCTTTCTCTTACCTTGGATCCTGCCATAGGCCCAAGAGTGAAAAATAATTTTGCAAAGCTTTCAGGATCATAATAATCATCTATAGTTTCAGACAGCAGCTGTTTAGCAACCAAGCGGAATTCAGCATTGTCAAAACCCAGCTGCTCATACAGTCCAAAAATATGACTAATACTGTGTACATCTAGATGGGAGGCACTTTTAAGGAAAACCTTGTTGCATTTTTCTATCAATGGATAATGTCTCACTTTAACATTCTGAAGAAACTGTAGTATTCTTTTGGCATAGTTGAAGTGGACTTCATAATTTTCTTTCAAGATCTGTTCAGCCTTGTGTAGTAACCGATCTCGGAAACTCTGTGAGATAACATCAGATATGCTGATCATCAAAACTGACAAGATCCTAAAAAATTCAGAAGATTTTACACTTACACATAGACCATGATAAGTAATAAATTTTAGATTTCTTAAATAAACCATGCAAAAGAACATGAGTCAGGGTGTTGTTAATCACCTCTGCATAAAAAAAGGAATTTTAAATCTAATGCAGAAAAACCAGATGACTAAACTCTGCTTTCAGTGAATTTTTTTAATTACTGGAATTTTTCAACCATCTCTTGCAAAGTTGTATGCAATGAAAGCATTCACCTAAGGCAAGACCCTTACTTGCCTGATTAAAATTTAGAGAAAGATCTTTAATGTTCAATGGAAACTAAAGAAATCCAAACAATTCTCAAGTGACAGAACGGGGAGAAGAGTCATTGCTACTCCTAAAGAAAAAATCCCACCCTAATGGAATAAAACTTACGACCACAGGGAGAGTAAGCTGTGAAACAAAATGCAGTCCAGTCTCCTCACATCCACAAAAGTGTTGAGACTGCTGGTGTTACATAAAACAGAAAAAGGGAACAGCAGTCTTTGCTATAATAGCCCAGGGAGGAACAAAGGCAAGAAAAAGAAGCTTGGACTTACTTGACTAGGGTCAGGTTTCAAATAATTGTAATATTAGGGTAAAGCATGAGACATGCTGGCAAGAGTATTGATTAATCCAACTTGGCAAAAAGAAAAAAAATAGCTCTGAAGAGAAATTAAAAAAACATTGCTTTAGGACTCCTTGTTGCCATTCACAATAGTGAACTACATCCATGTCGTAATAGAAAAACTATCAATCTCAAGGAAGAAAAACATTTTCTGGTGAGTAAATAGCCTCCAAATTCTCTAAAAAGTCCATGTAAAAATTAGAATCAGGATAGAGCAGTATCTGCTGGTTTTCCACTGCAAGCAGAACTTCAGCTTTAACCAAGTGTTTAAATTGGTTATAAAGAAATTCTTTACAACATCACTGGGAAAATGTAGTTGCCTAAGGAAGCCTTATCCATGAAAATCAATTCACTAATACAAATTCCCCTCTCTCCCATAAACCCCAAACTGAAGAAAAGCAACCTACAGTTGAGAAAAAGGGAGAGTGCTTTGTTCAGCAAAGGCAGCTCTGTCATTGTGACATTGCTTCTCCTGCTACTAAATTTCTTTCTGGCACTTACCTTATATCTTGTATAGAATCCAGCTTCACATCCACAATATGAGCTACTTTGCCAATTACAGGACTGAAATGTTTGTGCTGCTTGTATAAACACAGTGCAAATTTAGACAGAGCTGGCAAACTAAGCCTGTCAAGACATCAAAAACAGATGAAAACAGATCAAAACCAGAATATTTACCTTTTATTTCTAGTGAGCGAGACAAAAATACATTTCAACAAATACATAAAAAACAAGGTTATACTCAAATTACAAAGCAAGGTAACAAAGTATCTAAGCATTTCCTATTCGACCCTCTGTAATGAAAACACCTAGTTATTTTATATTAAAGAATGTTATGCATACAGAGCTCTACAAAATTCAGAAGTTATTAATTTAACCAGATGAACATAAGAAATCCATAAAGATTACATTCGCAAGCAATGATGTGAAATAGCTAAAATGAATGTGAGTAATTTATTGTCATCAAGCTTGAATGTCATCAAGCTACAATGAATTTATTTTTCAAGATACCCCTGATGTTAAGCTGGGAGAGGCAATTCTGTGATGCTGGTACCAAGACTGACACTAGCTTCTGCCACTAACTTGAGAATAATGAATGAAAATTACAATATCCAAAAAACCCAACAAAATAACTCAACAAAAAACAACAAAAGAAAAAAACACAGGGAAAATGTTTGCGTTTGATATTAAAAGTTTTTTACTAATATTGAGATGAGCTGGGGTCTAAAAACTATTTAAGAGCTGGATAGCAAGCTCTAAAATAAAACTGTAAATATCAAAACCTGCCATTTACTTCAAATACATAAATCTACACAGACAACATATTTCAAAATCTTAAGTATTAATCCCTGTTTTTGCCATATCTGACTCTGTAACATTTGGGTTCCAGTCCATCAATACTCAAAGGCTCCATAGGTATACAAATAATTTCCAAAAGCTTCAAAAATACAACTGTAATTTTATATACTCATATGTTTAAAACATCCCATAAATACTCTGAGAACTCTTTGTAGCCTCACATGAAGCAAACCATGCTTGCAACTTACATCTTTCATGAAGCATAATAGTATAGTACTTGCCTTTCTAATCTTTTCCATGCTTCTGTAACAAGAACTTCTACTAGAGAATCATGGTTTTCAACACTGAGCCTTCAGAAGAGAGAGATAATAGTTTGAAGTTTGTTTCAAAAGTCATAAAGAAATGACACGTCCTTCCATTACTTATCATGTTTTACTTTTCTATCCCTCCCTCCATTCTAACATATCACAAACATTTATGCATTAATAATCGTAACTGCATTTACTGGGAATCCAAAACAGATTCCGTTGTATCTGCATTTAAAAAACAAGGAACAGGACATTGTCTGTGTCACACAGTCAGAGTATGGAAGCTGGAACTAGGCAGTTTCCAGTCTCCGTATATGATGACTTTGTAGTCAAAATTGCATAGCTTTTTATTGCCAAGTACAAATTGTATAGATGTGGAATTTAACATAATACTGCTTACCTCAGAATACTATATAGAGTGTCTACTATGGCCTCATCTTCCATGTGTTCCACCTTGTTTTCTGCTAAAATGCAGAGAGTCAGAAACTGGGAGTGATTTCTTACATAGTCACTAGTCCTTGAGAGAAGTGGCCTCTTATTTTGCAATTGCCACAGCATGTTCAAAGCAATTCCCACATGTTTTTCAGAAAGCCTAGCCTTGTTCCTTCCAACAAGGCTGAACACTTCATCTTCATGGGTGCAGCTATTTATCTGGCTCAAAAGCAGATCACTACTCAGAGTCCGAGCCTGGTAATGTCTCAGTGTAAACAAGCAAACCTGTCTCAAACAAAGCATTTTGCTATGCCTACCAGACCTACTATCTTTAAAGTGTCCAGAAAGATTCTTCTTTCACTTTTGAAGGTAAACCACGTTGTTTCAAAGAACAGACTCTAGTATTTGAAAAACATAATTTTTCTTTCATTCCATATGGTCACTGTATTATGAAGTATTGAGCTACCTGTAATGAGACAGAATTAAAGAAGTTAAGTACAGTCATAGCTATTAGCTGAAAATCAGTTAATCTTCCTTTTCATGTTGTGAGTAAAGTAAGCTTGAGAACCTACAGCCTGGATTCTTCTCAGAGAAGCTCCCAACAATGAACACTGACATACTCACACGTACCAAAAAAAAACTAGTCCACTTGGGAAGCTTTCAAATTTAGAAACCTATCTTTAAAAAGCACATTACTAAGTAAGTTGCTAGCATTTAAATTGTTAACCTTCATTGACTGATTTGACTATTAGTGGTACCTTTTATTGTTAAAATACCTTTTGCATTACAGCTTCAACGTTCTGTTCTGATCTCCCAATTTCCCCACAATTTGACTGTGCTTGTGCCTTTTACTGTGAAACAGTTAAGACCCCAGTGCTGCTGGCAATAAATCTTGTTCTGTACATATAGATCTCGTCTGCTACCTTGCCCCAGCTTGGGACACTACTTCTACTGAGAAAGAAAGAAAGAAAAACACCTTATTTGAGCAGTCTATGTAAGGTACTGAAATAATTCAAGAAAACCGGATATAGCTGGACACCCCCAATCTGCAAGTATCAAAAATGTTTAAAAATTTAAGTAACTAAGTTTTAAGAGAGCTGTTTACGCGGTACAGGGTGTTTTTCACCTGTCTGCCAGTCACCTCAGCTCTCGTGAGCCCTTCCGTGGGCAGTACCACGGGCATCAACAGCGACCGGCCCACCTCACCTCACCTCCTGCCCACCTCACCCCACCTCCTGCCCACCTCACCCCACCTCCTGCCCACCTCACCTCACCTCCTGCCCACCTCACCCCACCTCCTGCCCACCTCACCCCACCTCCTGCCCACCTCACCCCACCTCCTGCCCACCTCACCTCACCTCCTGCCCACCTCACCCCACCTCCTGCCCACCTCACCCCACCTCCTGCCCACCTCACCCCACCTCCTGCCCACCTCACCTCACCTCCTGCCCACCTCACCCCACCTCCTGCCCACCTCACCCCACCTCCTGCCCACCTCACCCCACCTCCTGCCCACCTCACCTCACCTCCTGCCCACCTCACCCCACCTCCTGCCCACCTCACCCCACCTCCTGCCCACCTCACCCCACCTCCTGCCCACCTCACCTCACCTCCTGCCCACCTCACCCCACCTCCTGCCCACCTCACCCCACCTCCTGCCCACCTCACCCCACCTCCTGCCCACCTCACCTCACCTCCTGCCCACCTCACCCCACCTCCTGCCCACCTCACCCCACCTCCTGCCCACCTCACCCCACCTCCTGCCCACCTCACCTCACCTCCTGCCCACCTCACCCCACCTCCTGCCCACCTCACCCCACCTCCTGCCCACCTCACCCCACCTCCTGCCCACCTCACCTCACCTCCTGCCCACCTCACCCCACCTCCTGCCCACCTCACCCCACCTCCTGCCCACCTCACCCCACCTCCTGCCCACCTCACCTCACCTCCTGCCCACCTCACCCCACCTCCTGCCCACCTCACCCCACCTCCTGCCCACCTCACCCCACCTCCTGCCCACCTCACCTCACCTCCTGCCCACCTCACCCCACCTCCTGCCCACCTCACCCCACCTCCTGCCCACCTCACCCCACCTCCTGCCCACCTCACCTCACCTCCTGCCCACCTCACCCCACCTCCTGCCCACCTCACCCCACCTCCTGCCCACCTCACCCCACCTCCTGCCCACCTCACCTCACCTCCTGCCCACCTCACCCCACCTCCTGCCCACCTCACCCCACCTCCTGCCCACCTCACCCCACCTCCTGCCCACCTCACCTCACCTCCTGCCCACCTCACCCCACCTCCTGCCCACCTCACCCCACCTCCTGCCCACCTCACCCCACCTCCTGCCCACCTCACCTCACCTCCTGCCCACCTCACCCCACCTCCTGCCCACCTCACCCCACCTCCTGCCCACCTCACCCCACCTCCTGCCCACCTCACCTCACCTCCTGCCCACCTCACCCCACCTCCTGCCCACCTCACCCCACCTCCTGCCCACCTCACCCCACCGGTCGCTGCCCCGGCTTTCGGCCTCGCCTGTGGCCGGCGGGACGGGGTGTCTGCCAGCGCTGGCTTAAGCGAGGGCTGTGGAAACGGCGAAGTCCAGCACCCCTCTGGGTTAAACGAGAACAAAGGAATCGGTGTTGTCTGCACGACTTGTAAGACCTCCCTGCTCCCGCAGAACACAACCTAGGAAGTCCTTAGTTTACTTTTCACAAGACCCTTCCTGGGTTCAGGCCACAGTTGGATGCTGCTCCCTCAGAATAAGCGGGGTGGTTTAGCCTCAGTACTGCATCCTGCTCTGCACTGCTAGATCCCGTGTGTGTGAGTGTGTGTAGGAAATAATAACACGACAGTAATTCTAATAAACATTCATATAACACATTGTAAGGGGGGAAAAAAGTCTTCCCCACCTAGAAAAATAGCAAAGGGAACTAAGTTTAGGAACGGTGAAGTTCAAGAGTTTGTCTTTTCTGTACTGGAATTGATGTTACTTTATTGACTGTTTTTTTTACACTTGCGAAAAAAAAAGTTAAAAATGTGTAAGTTCTGGAACGCAAATCTGACATAGGTTGCAACATGTATGTTGCTTATGTTGTAGGCATAAAGCTCTGGGTCGTTTTTCTCACCCGCATTGATAATAACGAAGATATTTAAACAGAATTATTACAATCTTGGATTGTTCTAGAAACCTATCTAAAATCACAGCCAGCACTATTACCGTGAGCAATTTTGACTTGCTGATTTGCAGCTGTCTATCAAGCATTTGGGTTTTTTTATTACTTGCTGTCTGTTATTGATTCTATGTGTACCTCATATGTTGGTTGCTTATGAATATGGAACTCACTCAAACTCATAAAATATCCCCTCTTTCATTTATTACAGGTCTGTAATGTTTTAGAAAAACAGCATGTAAAATTTCTAACTGGATTTGTAAAAATTTTTTTAACTGTAAAATTTGTAATTTGAGTACTCCTATACCACATTGCTTTAGTTACAGTCTACACAGGCATGCAAGCAACAGAGACCCAAACCCTGTCAGGTGACCTCAGTGACACCTCTTTCAAGAATTTCAGCCCTTGTTCAAACTCACAGAAGAACTCCAAGGCATCCACCTGATCTCCCACTTCAGAAGAAAACTATTCCACGTTCATATGAAGGGGACATCTGCAAATCATACAGATTTTTCATTTACAAGATGCTGAACTTTTTACTTTTCACTTGTCAAGTACATTTGCATGAAATAAATTAATAATGCCTAAAACAAATTTTAAATGTTGGATATAATTACCTTAAAATTTAAGTTGAACACATAAGGTAAGAAAACAAGATTTATCAAAGCATGCTGTGCTGAATGGAGCCAGGGTCACCAGCTTCTTCGGATCTCAGAAATCATAGGGGTGAGATGTCTCAATTTTTTATTTTTTTTCAAGAAATTCAGGAGAAAATTTGTTTTCCTGCTTTCAATAGACTCCTCAGCAGCCCGTTACATGACTTCCATGACCTGTTATACACGATTACTAACCCCAGTAGCCACCGGTCCTCCTAAAGGAGGCACGTAATTCCGTGTCAGTCTGAGCTGACTCTGAGGTGCTTTATGCATTGCCATTAACTTTCACGTCCCCATTTTTAAGGTAAGTTGAAATCAACGTTGAACTGCAATACGGGATAGGATTATCAAGAACTTTTTTTCCCTAGTTGGTCTAAATTCCCATTCCAGCCCTTCACAAGCACGAACGACCTGTTACCGCTGGCGTAACCCGAAGCCCTTCCAGTAGTTTTGGACGTTTCATTTACCATTTCCTTGGCCATTTTCCGGGCCCTTGGCTGAGCCCACCCATCAGCGTTCCACCGGCACGGAAGGTCACCGCTAGTCCCGGACAGGTGGAGCTGGAGGGCACTCGCGTACCTGCCGGCGCAACGCGCGGAGCT